CCCCCCTCGAAGATTCGAGGGGGGATTTGACGTTGAAGCGGAACTCTAGTGGTAGAAGGAGCTCGGGTGGCTCAAACGTCGGGCGGAAGCAGTCTTACGCAAAAGCGCATTGTTTTGAAGAATTGAGTGAAGGGTGTGAAGTAGTAGGTTCTGTCTGCAAGGGTTGTGGTAAGCAAATTAGAGACAAGCAGCGTCGTGCCTCAGGTCTCAGCCGTCACGTGATAGGGTGTCGTCGGTTCGCACAGGATATCAAGGATCGGGTCTTATCTGAATCAAGTGCACTTCAGAAGGAACGCGGAATTTACAATTTTAATGAACCAGAGCCAGGACGTAAGAGATCTGGATCTTTCTCTGCTGATTCTCCTCCTGGAAAGGTTCGTCGTCGGGGAGGAAGCCCCGAAGAAGCAGACGCTCTCACTGGCGCTCTATTGGAGGCTTTTGTAGGGTAGGCATGGTCTTTCACTGCTCTCGATACATCACAAAAGCGACCAAACGCGTTTCTGCGGTTTCTAAAGTTGGCCGCCCCATGGTATTCGAAAAACTATTTCCCATCTCGCTACACATTTACAGGATGCCATCTCTATGCACTTCACAAATCCGTTTCTGAAAGAGTGGCGCACAGGATCCGAAGCGCAATGTCAATGGGATATGGAACCGTTATCTTTGATGGCTGGAATGACAGCACATCTGCACCCGTCGTGAACGTGCTTCTGAGAACTGAAGGTTCTGGGTTACTGTCTGGGTGCCGGAGGTTTTTCCTCGAGTCAGATTTTACCAAATACGAGCGAGTTGGAGCTGTGGGGTATATCCAAATTATTGAGTCTGTTATAGAAAAGTTTGGGGGTATGAGTCGGGTCTGTGCAGTGACCAGTGACAGTGCAAAATGTTGCCAAAACGCGCGCAGAGCTCTCACACACAAATACCCAAAACTTGTAGGAGTCCAGGACCAAGCTCATGTAGCTAACCTCTGTATGCAGGACATTGGAAAATTCCATGGGCGAAGGAGGTCATTGATAGCGTAACCTTGATGACAACTGAAACTAGACAGAAGCTAAAACTCCGAGCTCGACTGAAAGATGGTATTGACAGTTACAATAACACCGTATTTCCCCATATTAACATGGCAGACTCCGTTTTCCTTTCCGAAAGAGATGACTACACGGGTTTTCGGGGAGGACGGGAAAGAGTTGTTTCCATCGCTTCCCATTACGCCGATCATGCTTCGAAAGCCCGTGAAGACGCGTTTTGCTTCCATCGAAGGCACGCTTGAAGCCTTCATTCGCTGTAGAGTGGTGCTTCTCGGCCTTGTCCAAGCTCCTGACTTCATGAGGAACTTTTGGGAAGCATCTAACGCGAGAGAAAGAGGTAAGCGTGAAAAGTTTATTTCTAATATCGGATCGCACTTGTTTTTCACAAAAGTGAAGGAATTGCACAACATATTCAGGCTCTTTCGGCGGTATCTAAGATTTTTCGACTCCGACGAAGCCACAATTTCAGATGTTGTCCCTAAAACAGTAGCTCTTGGGAAGGACTTAGAGAAACTACCACTCACTTCGTTCATGACCAGTGAACGGAGAGCAGATGTCTTTGGAAAGTTCGAGAGGCGCCAGAACGGTCCTGTCAACGCTACTATTAAGGTCCGACTACTCAAAGACATACATTTTGCAGCCCACCATATAGATCCTCACCGCAGTCCACGCGATATTGATAGACACATCAACCGATTTCGCGCTTTCCTAATTTAGTACTGCTCCGGGAGTGGCACGATAGCTGACGCACTGCAGTGCGTTGTGAAGTTGGTCGAGGAATGGAACGACCAGAAGGATGACGCAGGGAGTGAGAATATTTTAAAGGAGTTTGAAAAAATGCCGCTGTTGTATTGGAAATCACTCGCTGATCGCCCCGAATATGCGCAGTTGCGGGAGTTCGTTATAAGGACACTGTCAGTTTCCCCGTCTTCTTGCGCAGCTGAGCGTAGTTTTAGTTTTCAAGGAAGGATTCGAACCTCATCGAGGAATAGAATGGATACTGCAAAAGTGAAGAAACTAGCTTTTACGCATTGGAACATGAAACTACTGGGAGATTCATATCTCATCAGCGCGGGATTCTGGGGCTCAGTTCAAACCAATGAGGATTCACAGGAATTGACTGAGACCGACGATGAAGGCGAAGCCATAGGTTGCCCCAATGCTGAACAAGGGGAGTATAACACCGTGTTTGACGACGATTACGATCATTTTGATATCTCTCAAGTAGAGAACCCAAACGACCGCGTCACAACTTCGATTATTAACAGCACAGGAACGCATCCAGGAAGGACACCCCATTCAACTGGACACCATTGACTTGATATCAATCTGCAGTAGAACGTTTCCTTGCCAGGTACTGGGACAAAACGGAGCTTCTGATATCCTTAATTCGAATAAGAGCATCTGTAAACTGTACAAAAAAGTCGTCAGTGCTTCCCTTATGCCGTAATGCCGACTGGGGAGAGAAGAGGCTGCGGCGGTATTCTAGACCCGGGGAGCGACCGGGGCGCTGCATTTCTGAAAGAAGGAATCGGGATATGGGCATAGGGAGGCTGCTGAATTGTCGGATTTGATTGTACGAGGGTAGGAGTTGATCGTTGTGCACGGCAGGGGAGTGGACAACGTCAGACGTTGAGGGGTAGACTGTTGTAAAGGCGCGAGGGCAGATGTCGCATGTGAAGACGTGGTCGGAGTCGGCGGCGGGCAGCTTTGGTGACGCCGTGTTTGTTGCGCCGACCGCTGAGGAATGGGTCCTGGAGGAAAGGGTATTGGTCCAGTGGCACTGGACCTCTTGCCTCATGTGAGGCAAGCGGTCCAGGTCCAGAGCTTGTGAAGTTCACAGTAACCTTGATCAGTGCTCTTGCGCAAGTCCAAGATAGAGTTTATCCTCTATACGACTGTCATCGCTGCTTTTCCCAGGTGCCTCTAAGGCACCCTTTATTCAACGTGACAGCCTTTACAACGGCACACGTGCGCATTGCCACTTAGCACAAGTTGGTAACGTGGAAATAACACGATCCACAAAAAGCCAACGTGTAAGTCGTAGCCACATTGAAAATCCGAGATCTATAGTCTTTTCTGCATGAAGATTCATGAAGTTATAAACTTTCTGCATGAATAAATCAGCAAAAAGCAAAAATGAAAAAATGGACTTGATATCGTTGCTTTGAACCTCTCCAAGAGATCTTCCATATTCTTTTGGAATGGAACTTCGCTCCGGCGGCACCTTTCCCAACTGGTGCACTCTAATTTTTGCCTGGCTCCCTCCCATTCCGGAAAAATGTCAGTACAGGGGGGTCGCGATATAGTGCCATCTTTGTTAGTGCCAGCTCCGATATAGTGCTACACTTCTAGGGGTGGCACGAATTTTGAGCCAAAAACGAAGGGTCTCTGGAGAGGCAAGGCAGTTGGATGGACGTACTGCCCGAGAGCCGCTGCCGCCGCGGAAAGATATTATGCAGTTGCTTACTAGAATAGAGACTATGGCGGAAAAAGGCAGGTTCGATGATGCAATTGGACATCTGCAAAAGTGTAGGCTGGCATTTATGGCTGCCAAAAAGGAGGGAGTCAATGCGACGGCTCGGCAGCTACAGTACTAATAACAGAAATGCTTGATTAGATGCAAAGTATGAGTGATGGCGTCCTGCGAGCGGTCTTTCTGAGCAGTGATGCGCAAGGGAGTGGCTGCAAAAAAGCCGTAAATCTCATTATCTTATAGTGCCTGGTTCGATATAGTGCCGTTTTCGGCCCACTGGGCCTCAGACACAGGGTAGCACTATATCGCGACCGCCCTCTGTACTGCAGTTTCGCATCGTGATGGCGGCAAGCCATTGTTTGTGGGAAGGGACTTTCTGGAAAGGGTCGTCATAATGGAGAGTAAAATGGACATGGATGAAGACTGGGGGATTTATCTTCATTTAGGTGTAATGAATATCTGTAACTGCAGATGAACGTCGAGTTTGGCTCAAGATTGGGAAAAGGGGCGCATCCAAAGTAAATGCCAAATAGTGCTAGTGTCTGAAATGATATTGAGATACGCAGGTAGTGATTCACCACATTGACAAACAGAGGTGATAGTATGTACAATGGAAAATAGAGAACATAGCTCGCAAACAACGGCAGAGACGAAATCTAGCTCGGAAGAAATGGCAGAAAGAGCACATAGCTCGTATAATATGACAGAAAGAAAAGGGAGCTCGCACACAATGGCAAATAGTTTAGTTACTATTCGGGTGGCAGAAATCGGAGATTGCTGTTACTGTGATCAGAAAAGAAGAAAAGGTGATCAGCGAACAATATGAAACAATCTCCAGGAAATACCGCCGCTGCCCCCTTTTGGTGCTTTCAGGTTGGTGTCAATCTCTTGACGCCGTCACCCTTCGGTCTACGCTTTACTCACGCATCGTGGAACATCCCCTCAGCCATACCTGCGCAACCCCTTCGCGCGGGCGCATGGAGGCCTGATTGGTCGCGCAGTAAATAATAATGCGGTCGGAAGGCGTGGAGGGCGGTCGTGAATATTGGACGGTAGGGGTGAAAATCAGACGATGACTGTAAAACTCGGAAGGCGACGGTGAAATTCAGACGGTGATAGAGCAGATGTCACCTCCATTCCGCATTAGTGAGTGGGATTGTGAACTCATTTCACATTTTTATCACTGATTATGTGTATCAATGACCGATGTAAGCTGGTAATGTCCTGTAGCTGCCAATTGTTTTCCCTCTGTGTACCATTTCGAAAAGCACTGGAAGTGAATACACACTGAAAGCATTGTAAATATAGGTTATGTGACACTTCTGCCCATTGAAATGGCATGAACACTTGTTCCACATAAATTGTCGTGTGATGACAACCGATAAAGATTAAACGAAGCGTTCTGTGCTCGAAATAGCTTTTATATTGATATTATGTTGATTAATTGCCAATATGGAAAAACTGTTGACCATCTGCCAATACGATCTGAAATATCGACCACGATCTTCAATTTATTAAATTTGTGACGCCAGATTTCATTTATCTGTGATGTGAACCTCCTAAATGGAATTAAGAATCCAAAATGTGCCATGGTTTCCCCATTGTCTCTTGTGGGAAATGACGATCCAGATCATGTCAGGGGAATCGCGACTCAGATGTTTTGGATTGGACATGCGAGTTGGAGCGGTTCATATTGATCCAAATAACCCGTTTTTGGACCAAATTCCTGTGCTCCAAAATTTCGGTCCAATCCAAGTCCAAAAATGGATTGGAACTTCTATGCCGGTGTGGTGCCATCACTCTCAAAAATTTGTCCAAATATTGAACTGGACCTTATCATCAGCATTGGTGGAGACGCCCTTACTGTATGTCTCGTTTTCGACATGCACTTTCTTTTAACTAGACACACTGTGCTCCACTGAAAGTGTGTCCTATCCTTTCGTAATGGAAATTTTCTCTTGCCGTAAAATCTTTCCAGAAAACCGAGTCAATTCTACGTGGACTTTGACGTCTACGACTCTACCCATAGATATGGTTTGCTCCCGTTAGGGAAGTATCTCCCTTCGGGTAATACCTTTCAAAGAACGAGGCCACTGACCGCGCGCATTCTTCCGCCGAATTCTCCCGCTGATCGATGAACAGCTGCTGCAACGTCGCGATCGACCGTGCCTCCTTGTCCTCGAACCTGGAAAACACTGCACTCACAAACTCCTGTGCCACTTCCTGCCTCGCCTCTGGGTAGAAGGACATGAATAGCTCTTTGATCTGCTCCTCGTCAGGACTGGGAAAGTGAACTCGTCGATCCACACGTCCGCCCCGGATCAACGCGCTGTCCAGTTTAGCAATGTTATTCGTAGTCATCACCGTGATGACCCCATCCGCACTGATCAATCCGTCCAGGGCGTTCAGAAAGCTCGAAAAGGAGAGTTTCGGCGCCTCGGCGCTGGTTCGGTCCTTGTTAAACAGCGCATCCACGTCCTCAAATACGAGAAGCGCGTTCGCGGGGATCGCCGTGAGTGCCTGGGCAAGGTCCTGGTTGCTGAATTCTGGGTTCGTCATGCTCAGAAAACAGCAGTTGAGCTGGAATTGAGACGCAATCACACGGATCGTCGATGTCTTGCCTGTCCCGGGTGGTCCGAAAAATAGAAACGAACGCCGATGTGGCATACCGTGCTCGACATACCATTTACGCGTCTCCATTTTAAGAAACTGCTTGACGTCTTCGAGAATGTAATCCATTTGCTTGGCAGGAAGAATAACAGATGCCGGTGTTCTCGAGCGCTTCAAGCCCTCTAGAAACCATCGACCCCTTCCAGGACAAAAAAATTGGTATCGATACAGTGAAAACTTGTGGTCCATGCCATCGTAGATGTCTTTGTCAACGCTCCACTGAGAGATCTCTGTTACAAAGTTACGCAGCTGTTTGGAACCGTCAAGCCCGACTATTAGCAGTTCACGGAGAGTCGAAAGCGTTCCGTTCACCTCCTGCGGTTCTCCCACGGAGTAATGTACGATGTGAATTTGCAGACCAGTGCTATTGTCATCCGTACCGGATACGTCGCCATTCTCTCTCCCTTCTTCAGGAACTTCTGGTACTTTGGATTCAAAACTACCTTCTGTTGTCGTTGCAAGAACATCGAGCTCTCCCATTCTACGCTTTGCGTCGCAGTTTTGCTTGCAGAGATATTCGGCCGTAAGATGAGGTGGGGGTGGCCATACAATGACTGTTTCGCCTAAGCCGAGCCGAAATTTTGGCTGTGCAAGCTTCTTATCTAACAGGCCTCTCCCGCCTTTCAACTTTACTTGGTCCATTCTCATCATAGCCGCCTGAAAACTCTTCAAAGTTTCACCGTCGAAGGCATCGTTTGATCGTGGGAATCTCACGTGAGAAACAGAGAGAGGGAAAGATGTCCTTGGATCTTGAGGATCGGATAACGCCGCGTACTCCAAAACGGCAGAGTAGAGAGGCTCAACAGAGCACTTCACAGTAAGAGTGGTCAAGGATTCCACTGGCACTTGATGCTCAGCCGCAATACGAACAAGGGTATGGTGTGGCACATGCGTAATTGTGCCCTGCGGAGAAGGGGGCCATTCTTCGACGAGTCCTGGAGGTTGCTTCTCTACCATGTTCGCGTGCTTGTAAATCTTTTCGCACCACCACAACCTAAAGAGCACGCAGGTTAGTTGCCCGTAATTCGATGCTGGAGCCCGTTTGGTTCGTTGTGCACGAAGTTGCTTGCAGTACGGAGCTTCTTCTACGGTACCACGTATATATACTTCCACGCGATAAACTGACATAAAGTACTAATACGCGTCTAATCCAACGCTTGAATGAGAGAGCTTGAAAGTGAAATCATGTTCGTTTCTTTTCAGCCGAAATCTGATACTCATACGCGTTCGCTATTGGCTGTGCTGGGCATATCTTGCTACGCTGTCATTTCAAATCATGACAGAGTTCAGATGGACTCTGGTTTTCCTCCCGGTTGTCACAGATTTCCCCTCTTCACCTGTTGTCCCGTCGCCCTGAACCTCGACTAGCGCAAATACTCAAAGCGACATTGCTGCCCCTGTGACAAGGCGTTACGTTCGTTACAGGTTGAGCTAAAATGTTCTGTACAGTCATGCATCATGAAACAGAAGACTGAAGGGGATGTACGAACATCCGTTATCTGTGTGCTGTGCTGCCCCCTTTTCAAAGCATCGCACATATGTCCAGCGATTCAATCGCCTTTTGCTCCAACTGTGTTCATGCCTGCTTCAAAAATTTCACGTTTTGCGTTACTTGCATTGGTTCTGAAGGTTGGCGCAACCGCATGAAGCGATGCCCATAGGAGAATTCGTGTGTGGAAAATGAAATTTTTGATATGTGTTCCGAATACTGCGTCACAAGACTACAGCAACAAGCATACATTGCACTTCATTCATTTAAACAAACATATTGGTCAGCATTATTTGAGATGCAAAAGCAGCTTATGTGACCAATCGAGGTTAACCTGTCAGATGGCCTGTCAGATGGTTGATACCCGCGATTTCATTAAATCATGTTTTTGCGCGCAATTGCGCGCAAAAACTGCCAGATAATGCTGCAAAATGAAAAAATCATCACTTCGGCCTTCTTCAGGCGACCCACCGATAATCGCGATCAACCATCGAAATCGAGATCCCCCATGCCTTCCTAGGGTCCCTGTAGCCCATCTCCATCATGGCGATGTAACGTGTAAGTCGTGGCTACCATTGTCTGAAGTCGTTTCTTCATGAAGAATCATGAAGTTTCTCAGTTTCTGCATGAATAAACAAGCAAAAAGCAAAAATGAAAAAACAACCCGAAATCGTGGGTTGATACGCACTTCGACTCCCTGAATGACTCTGTTTTCCTTATATCAAACAAAGTGTATATCGCTGACTTTCCTCGCGGGATTGGCAGTGAGTTTCCTATTATTCAATCTAATTATTGGAAACCTTCCCCACACAAATACCGCAAGCAAGCACGGTGGTATTCACACAGCGAAATGTCAAAGACAGAAAGTTACACCCACGAAAGCATGAAGTAAACAAGTTGCCCATCTAGTCGGAACTAGCGGCAGTTCAAAACAAGTGCAGAAGCCCAAGGGCCGAGACTGCAATACTGATATTACTTCTGCTTGAGGGAAAAGTCGAATTCCGCCTCCACTCGTAAAAGAGCTATTTTGGGTGAAGATGAACACCGCAAAAGTGTTTTGCTTCTGCTGCACATCTTTCTGCTTTGAATAAGAGAACAAGTGGCTTGCCTGCGAAGCGAACGCCACCTGATGATGACACAGTAACAAACGCATTCGATGGCGTACTATTCATGCAGGCAGCAATGGAATGGTGGCCATGAGACTACCATGACTGCAATCCTCGCATCTACCCGTTATTTCAAAATTTACTCGCAGATCCTTGCGTCTTCAGAGGTTAGATGGAGCGGCATTGCGAGAGTGACAGAGTGTGGGCCGTGTGGTGGCTGAGACTCAACAAACTAAAGTGGGGAATGCGTACTTCAATTCAATATTCATCCCCGATGCAAGCGGTGTAGAAAGGCGCTGTTGTGTACAGCATGGATTAATATGGCAGCAGTGCAGCTGTACCAAACATCGGAACAGTGAGCTGTAATCCGTTGCTACACGGTGACATTTTGTGAACGGGAATACTTTCCGCCGTGGAGAACCGTCCGCACGGTGGCTTCAACAACCCACCACCACCCCCATTAGCTGATAGCATACCGTTCCATCTCTTGACTTGTCCGCACATAGGGGTATGGGCACGGAAACTGCTGGGCGGTGGCCTGGGCAAGATGGGCGATACGGATGGACAAAACTGAATGAAGGAACCGTCGACCGCTAACGTGCATACAATGTACTATCCGCCGTTCGGTTCCTCTCAGCGATACACAAGATGATGCTTGAGGATATATAAACATGGGTAATGAGTGGCGAAAATGCTCGCAGATCGATACAATCACGCAACAAGAAAAGGTGTGCACGATCACTGCCGTTGATAAAAGGGCACTTGCGTTCTTGCCACCGATTCAACTATGCGCCTTGCCTTTGTTGGCAACGCTCCTGACAAGGCGCCTCAACATATTTTCGCAGCGCAACCTAATGCGTTGCCACACGTATTGGCTTGCGCCTTGTTTCAGAGCCGGCAGCACTCGATGAACAGAATTTGCGCGGAAATGATGCTCAGCGATTCAAGAATCGTTCTTGGTGTGTTCAACTACCAAAAAACGCTTTTGTCTTAAAGAGTTCACAAAAGTGGTCTCCTATGCCCATGACAAGTTGAAAATGAAGCCAACACGTTCACTGATGCCTGCTTATTTGCAGGGATCGATGGAAATCCCTTGTAGCGAAGCGATCCTCAATCGGGATTCGCGTATTCCGGTATCCAAATAGTCCGTTCTCAACAAGGTTGCATGTATTCGAAACAACACAACACGAACAACCATGACGTTGTTCGTGTTGTGTTGTTTAGAACGCAGCAGCGCATTTATGTTTCCGTCTCCCTAGCCGAGGTGATCTGTCTGACACTCTCCAGCAGTTTATGAGCATCATCGACTGCCTCAGACATTTCCTCGCCGATCTGGGCAGATTCGAAGTTGGCCACATCTAACAATTCGCGTTCCTTTCCCTCGATCTCTGTCATCTGCTCCTCGATTCCGTCAACGAGGGTGTCGACATCGCGCGAACACTGCACGATCTCCTTTGCAAATCCAGGAAGCTTTGCTACGAGTTCGGCCCGGGCAACTGTGTCGTTCTGCACTTCGTCAGCTTCTTCAGGGCCGCGCGTGACCGGGGGCGCGTCGCGCTGGATTATGCCGAGATAAGTGTAGAACATTACGCCGAGCTCCTCCATGCGTTTTTGAAGACGGGAAAGGTCGTCCAGGTGGTCTTGTTCGGGTTTTTCGGGCTCGGTGGACATGATAGGAAACATAGGATGCAGAAAAAGCAATTTTCGATGGTTGCAACGAGAGACAGTGATGAAGGCTGGGGAAAAAGAGGCGGTGGAATGGTAAGGCGAAACGAGGCATTTCGACTTCGAGCGCAGGGTACTGTACAGCGGTACACGTATTAAGTATCGGCCCTTTTCTTGCGGGCAAGAATGCAGAATTGTGGCAACCGCAATTACTGTACACTGTAATTTGTGAAACGTGTTTAGGCGGAAACTAGCGAGGTAGATCTACCCATCAAGCGTTATCATAACATAAAAATGTGCGAGTTTTATTTCTTTTCAACTTTGATGTGCACGGTTCCTATTTTTCTTTGAATGTTGACTCGTTTTAAATTTTTTCTGAAGTAAAAACCGAATTGAAAGCAATTCGGGCAAGGTTTCTATGCTACTGGTATAACCCTGTGCTCCCGTTTGTGACGATTATAGGCGTCTCAAAAAGTGAGACGATTTGTGAGATTTTTTGTGAGAGTTGTACTACCGAGCCCGCCGCCGTCTACAACATCACAAACCGTTTGTGAACATTTGTTGACGTTTAGCACTTTTTCAGATGGTTTTGAGACGATCTCATTGCCTCATCTCAAACGTCTCATAAAATGTAGCACTTTTTGAGATCATTGCGTGACGTCTCACAGGTGCATCTCAAACATCACACTAACTATAGCACTTTTTGAGATGAATTTGTGTGAACATTCAAGAAGTTCGCAAACGTCAACCCTAAACTGCACAGTTCACAAAACTAGTGTGCCGTTTGAGACGGTTGTGTGTGAGCGCACCACCACGATCAGACACCTCACACAGTCAAGTGCCTTTCGTCTCACAAAGTGCTCTTCGTCAACAAACTCAACCAAAATTTCCCCCAATCTCACTGTGTCTCGCGGGATTCTGCCCTTTGTGATATCTGCCTGTTCCATCCCACCAATCACCGAATACCCACACTGTCCACATTCTCTGAGACTTCTGGCCACCTCTCGCTATCCCTGTGCTCCTTTTTTGTGACGGTAATTTTGTGCCCCGGTCGGGTTTTTTTGAACTTTCTTCCGTTGTAGAAGGCGCAGTCAGCCCGAAGTAGTGCCGTTCAACACAAAACAGTGTTCCGGTCAAGTAGATATAGGTCTCGTTCTGAACTGGCGAGTACTTCCGGCGTGGTGTCTGCTCAAAAAATGAATTGTGGACCGGGGTTTGATACGGTCCCAAACATCTCAAAACTCACACAAAAAGTCTCGAAAGTCTCACAGTGTATGAGATTCACACATAAATTGTGAGACGTCAACTTTTCGAAGAGCATTTTTGTTGATTGTTGTGTAAATGTTGTTGACGATTTGTGAGACTCTCACTTTCCTGGAATGCGACGTCTCAAAAATGCACTATTCTAATCTCAAACATCACATTAAGTGCACAACGTCTACCAAGCAGCCTTGTTTACGAGTCAGTCTACGGGGTCAGAAACAGAGAGTTGGGGTGGTTATTCGCTTCAGCGTGAACTAGATGGGTTTGCACGTCTTCTTGGCGTTCTTGGCGCAGAGTCGAATTCCCTTTCATCAGCCGCTGTGGGAATGTGACGCTTCAGCGTGGGGCGCGAATGCCACTCTATCCAGCAGCTACTACATATCGCTTGCCTACACGTACAGCACCACTGGACTTGACGGGAGCCCTTTCTTTTCGTTTTAGGTTTTCCGTCCTTAGTTCCGCGCTTCACCCAGCTGCATAGAACGCAGTAAGTCGGTGTCCCATGCACCTTTTCGTGACGCAAGTTTTTGTTAAGTCTTCTTGCCTTGTGAATTCCAAGGTTGTACTGCTCTGAAGCCTTTCTTTTAAAAAAAGGAGTGAGTTTGGTGACATATTCATTAAAACCGTTCTCATTGTCCTCAGAGCGGGTGGATCCTATTTTTTCTGCCCATTCTTGAGCGAGTCGTCTCGCGAAGGATCCGAAAGTGTCACACCTTGTAACTTTGTGTCGTAGCGAGGCGTATCCTTCAGTTCCATATTGTTCATTGACAGAAGGCGGGAGAATATTTCTCTGCCTTGCAAGAGAGAGTCTATATATCACAGCTGCATTGCAGATTTGCATACTTAGCAGCCGTGCAATAATATATATTACAGGGTTCTCACTTATATTCGTTCTGGCCAACGTCTTCAAATACCTGGAGATAACATCTACGCCTCCCTTTAAGTTGTTCCAGAATACAGCTGGGGTCAACCTGATCATCCTGCAGGGCGGTATCGGGGATCCCTGTTTCAAAACTTCCTTTCTGATGGCCTTGCTTAGATTATAATACGACACAAAGCTGTATAGATCAGACGCATGACTATCTTTCAACAGTTCGTCGTATTCTTTTGGCACGAGTGACGCATCCAATCCCACCCAAGAAAAAACTGAGACTCTAACACAGTCCAGACAGTATGTATAGCTGTGTCGCAGGGACTCAGAAAACTCAACTAGACATGTGTAAATGATATTACCTTCAACCATGGACCCTCCAGTGCCGACAACAAATGCCACATGGTTCATTCCTAGCGTAGCACAGTGATGTAGCACCTGTGCTCTGTACTGTGTAGATGGCACAAGTTCTCTGAACAGTTCAGAGCTTTTGTCATCTGTGCCAACATTCTCCAGC